TTTACACAGGTCAGGTCATGTCAGGTCTCTCACACAAACTGCCCCTGCACAGGTAGGGTGGGGAGTGGGGCATAGGTCGGGTCACTCAGTTCCCCCGTACCCTGGTCCTTCTACCTTAAAAACGTTAGTAATAACAACGCGAGGCAAAAAAGGGAAAGGGCGTGCACAGACCACATCCCTGCATAGTTAGGCCTAGACTGTTGCTTCCCTCGAGACTAAGAAAAAAAAAATTAATTCAACTACTACTTGACTCAAGGTTCTTCTTGACTTCAAAAACTCATCACCACACACCTTTCCTTCTATCACTCCGAGTTTATAACTCTTCATCCCATAATTTCCCATTTTCCGCTCCTTTTCTTGCAGATTGCACGCTGCACTTTAGATCGCGTTTGTTACAATCAATCAGCTCAGTCAGATCAGACGCGACATCGTTCTCCTCGTTTGCGCTGAACATTCTCACTTCGCGTACTTCTAACTTGACCATCACAGACGCAAAAATACATCATGTCTTACGGCGGCGGCTACAACTCCCGTAACGGAGGAGGAGGAGGCGGCGGCTACTCTAATGGCCACGAAAAGTACGGAGGCGGCCACGGAGGTGGTCGTCAAGAACACGGTCACGGGTAAGAATTGCATTTGAGCATTTGCTATTGTCTCACCGCACTTTAACCTCCCTTGATCATCGATACTAACATATCTTCTCTTCCAGCAATGGTTATGGCGGTAACAGCGGTGGTTACGGAGGAGGTGGCGGCGGCTATGGTGGAAGCGGAGGCGGAGGCGGTGACAGAATGTCTAACCTCGGAGCTGGTCTACACAAGCAAACCTGGGGTATGTTCTTTCCAGATTCTTGAGTTATTAATCATGTCATAACTAACCTTGTTCTCAATAGATCTCAACTCTCTTCCCAAATTCGAGAAGTCCTTCTACAAGGAGGACGAAGCTGTCGCACGACGACCGGCCAGTGAAGTTGAGCGATTCCGAAAAGATCATCAAATAGCTATCTCTGGCCACGATGTTCCCAAACCTGTCGAGACATTCGATGAGGCTGGATTCCCTCGATATGTGATGGACGAAGTCAAGGCACAAGGCTTCCCCGCTCCTACTGCCATCCAATCTCAAGGATGGCCCATGGCTCTCTCTGGTCGCGACGTCGTCGGTATTGCCGAGACAGGTTCCGGTAAGACGCTGACTTACTGCCTTCCGGCAATTGTCCACATCAACGCCCAGCCTCTCTTGGCTCCCGGCGACGGCCCCATCGTGCTTGTTCTTGCACCTACTCGAGAACTAGCTGTGCAGATCCAGCAGGAGATTACTAAATTCGGCAAGTCTTCGCGCATTCGCAACACCTGTGTCTATGGAGGTGTTCCTCGTGGTCCTCAGATCCGCGACCTTACTAAGGGTGTCGAGGTCTGCATTGCTACTCCCGGTCGTCTGATCGATATGCTCGAGGGTGGTAAGACTAACTTACGCCGAGTGACTTACTTAGTCCTCGACGAGGCTGATCGTATGCTGGACATGGGTTTCGAGCCCCAGATTCGCAAGATTATTAGTCAGATTCGACCTGACCGTCAAACTCTCATGTGGTCTGCTACTTGGCCCAAGGAAGTTCGTGCTTTAGCTGCCGAATTCCAAACCGACTTCATTCAGGTCAACATTGGTTCTCTAGACTTGTCTGCTAACCATCGTATTACGCAAGTCGTCGAGGTTGTATCCGAGGGTGAGAAGCGTGATCGTATGATCAAGCATCTTGAGAAGATCATGGACAACAAAGAGAACAAATGTCTTCTATTCGTAGGTACGAAGCGAGTCGCTGACGAGATTACGCGATTCCTCCGCCAAGACGGCTGGCCGGCCCTTTGTAAGTTTACGCAAATGTCTAACTTTCGATGCGGCTTGAAACTAATCTATTCGCAGCTATTCACGGCGACAAACAGCAGAACGAACGTGACTGGGTCCTTGACCAGTTCAAGACCGGAAAGAGTCCCATTATGGTAGCCACCGACGTTGCTTCTCGTGGTATTGGTATGATTGCAAATCCCCCCGTCCCCTCCCCGTACCCCCGTATCAACTTCCAGCAGAGTTATATCCGCTGTGCTTTACTCTATGTCTAGGGGCTCTCTCGATTGTGCGCATTTGCCTGATCTCCCAGTGTGTCTTGTGGTTCTCATCTATTCAGGAATATTGGGGTCCCGTGGTATAGTGGATGCACTATGCCCATGTTCCGTTGTCGTACCTTATTGTCCCCGTGGTACGGCTACGGAGTTGGCATTTCTTGATTCTGTCAAGCTATCTCCAGACTCCCAGATCCTAGGACCCAGACCAGATTATTGGAATTCCTCCAAATTGGCATGTTGATGCAGCAGACAGCCCCAATTCTCCAAGGAGAAAGCACGGAAAATATACTTAGGCACAGCACGTCCGTCGCTGGGACTTGTTACAGAAACATTGGTTTTCGGTTTGGCTAACATTAGATTGTAATTAAGATGTGCGCAACATCACTCATGTGATAAACTATGACTACCCGAACAACTCGGAGGATTACATCCACCGTATTGGCCGAACTGGCCGTGCTGGCGCCAATGGCACTGCCATTACTCTCTTTACTGCTGACAGTAAGTGTCTCCTAATGAATATTACCATGGCTATGACTAACAACTTCCCAGATTCTAAGCAGGCTCGTGATCTAGTCGCGGTTCTTCAAGAAGCTAAGCAGCAAATTGATCCTAGACTTCATGAGATGGCCCGCTATAGCGGCGGCGGTGGCGGAGGCCGCTACGGCGGACGAGGCTACGGTCGTGGTGGTCATGGTGGTCACCGAGGTATGTCTTATCGATTTCTAGGTTTTCAGAAACATAATACTAACACTTATTCTCAACAGGCGGCGGTGGTGCTGGCGGTGCTAACTCTTTGCCCATCAACAACCGACGATGGTGATAACCTCCATCAGGGATCTTTAGAACGTCGTAAGGTATCTGCCGGATTGCATTCCCTTTTATTTTATTGCACATATGCACAGATGGCGTTGTGTTTAGAGGTACGGATGTTTAGAAGTCGTTTTGTGTCGACACTTTGCGAAGGTATCTGTGCATGTCGATCCAGATTTGCACAACTCGCACTACCTAATTTGGTCACCCAACAAGATGCAGGCGTTACAGAAACATGAGAGAACGTGGAAAATGCAGAATTCTGCCTTGGTTCTACGAGAAGCAACTCTGGACTCGAGACCGTACAACTTACCAATTTTTGACTTCCAAGTCGAGAGAGAGGTAATGTTGCTTGCTGACTTGTGCAGATTGGACTTGCTTCAAGACCTACTACAAGGCCATATGTATATGTAGACTATCATCTGTCTTGTTCTCACTAGGAGACAAGGCAAATGAATACGTAGCATGAATTCAAGGTCTATTGCCTTAACATGAGAGTTCTATACTGAGGCAGTTATAAAGATTGCCAAGGACCAACGTTGACCGTACCGGGTTTCTCGGGAATGGAAATGATCTTGGCCTATGTTTATGATATCTGCACCCTATTCTTAGATAAGTGCGTCATTTGTAGTGTGTTCAGAGGTAGTATTGCCGACTGGTTTTTGTAGTGAGACCCAGACGAGGTCGTTTTGCGTGCTTGTGAGTGGCCGCCCAATATAACCGGAAATGACCTCTTTTTATCCGCAAACACAGGGGTGACTACACCATACCCGGTAAACGCAAGGACAGACTCCGTCTCGGTTTAGGCCTCTGCAAGTTCCCGCTTAGCAATAGTACTATAAGATGATGACCTCCCTGCCTCTGCGTCGCTGCGGCGTGGATGTTGTTTGTCTGCGTAGGACATTGATGCTGTATCCGTCTTCTCATCGACATTATTCGTCTAGTTAGATATAAACATTACGAGTCTATTAGCGACAATGAAGACCGCAGCAGCATTCGCACTCCTCGTGGCCAGCACCCAAGCCGCTCCGCATTGTACGTAAACTCACTCACTTCACTCACTCACTCGCTATCCAATTTAATATCTAGTTCTTCATCTTTCTGTCGTAGAGAATGAAGATGATATGATATGCATATCATATGAAGGCTAGGTCTGACTGAAGCGTCTCATATTGTAGACACGTTCCCGAAGCTCGCGGGCACCTCGGACTGGAGCTCCGTTCGGCAGACGGCAAACTTCCAGTCGAATGGGCCCGTGACCGACGTCAACTCGGATGCTATTCGTTGCTACCAGCGGGCTGCCGGCGGCGCCCCTGATACCACGCAGGTCAAGGCCGGCGGCCAGATCACTTGGGTTGCTAACCCGAGTATCTACCACCCTGGAGGGTACGTAATGTAATGATGGCTGCCCGAGACGCGGGGATCCGCGGTTGTGGCGTAGGTTGGGATGAATGCTAATGTGTCGATCTACAGTACGTTATTATTATATATGTATACGCGGATGGGTGAAGCCTTAACGTTTAGGACTGCTTCCTAGATGGGCGAGTTGGGATAAGACGAAACGAGATGAGATAAATTACTAACTTGAGGTCGTCTTCTAGCCCTTTCGGCATACATGGCCAAGGTCCCGTCCGGCAAGACCGCCGCCGACTTCGACGGCAGCGGAAACGTGTGGTTCAAGGTGTACCAGGACATGCCCACGGCGTCGGGCGGACAATACACCTGGCCATCAAACGGTACGCCTCTCTCCCTTCCTACTTCCCTCCTCCTCCTCCTCCTCCTCCTCCTCCTCCTCCTCCTCCTCCTCCTCCTCCTCCTCCTCCTCCTCCTCCTCCTCCTCCTCCTCCTCCTCCTCCTTCTTCTTGCTTCTTTCCTCCCTCCCCATCCCATCAACATTTCTAACCCCCTCCCCCACCCAACCAGGCAAAGCCGAAATCAGCTTCACCATCCCGCAGTGCCTAGCGGAGGGCGACTACCTGTTCCGGATCGAGCACGTGGCCCTCCACTCGGCGTCGGCAGCGGGCGGCGCCCAGTTCTACATCTCGTGCGCGCAGGTCCACGTCAGCGGGGGCTCGTCGGGGGCCGCGCAGCCCGGGGGGTTGGTCTCGTTCCCCGGCGCGTATAAGGCGACCGACCCGGGCATTATGATTAACATCTACAATAACGGCGGGAAGGAGTACCAGCCCGCGGGGCCGAAGGTGTTTACTTGTTAGATGGGGTGAGGGGGGTGGAATAAGGGGGAATGGGGTGGAGGGAAAGGGGAGCTGAGTAAGGGTCTTGGATGGAGAGGATGAGAGATAGATATCTACGTGTATACCGACTTGCAGTCTACCGTTACTTAGTGTGAATATCTAATCGTGTATCAAAGCTTTGCCCTGCTTAGTATCTGTGACTCTTGATAGTAGTGGTTATGGCTTGCTTTGCTAAGTTACTCAGTGTGTATAAAGACAATATATTCCATATAGTCATCGCATTATCAAATTAACGAGTCTATCAGACTCCGCTCTTATACTCCCTATCCAGTAGCTTGTAATATGAAGTATGCATTTACTACTTGAGTATCTAGTATTGCTAGCATCCGTCGCGTTTCCCTGGAAGTTATTTGTCAAGCCAGTCCCACGGTAGATACGTGTGAGTGGCTTGGGCTTTTGAGCACAAATACTGCCATAGCATCGTGGTGCCTCGTCAGCTCCAATGCCTTCAAGATGAAGCGCGCTTCATCTTCGAGATTTTATTTTATTTCAGCAGATAGACGACTCTTGGGTATATGGCTGCTTCTTCGATATGAGTTAAACAGTCAGATTCACCAGCTTACTCGAACACACATGAGCTCTCTTTAGTTGAAAGTTACTACCTAGATACCCAGAGGTCTATTATCCAGGAGACATGTCGCTTGCTGACACATGCAACGTTATGGACGAGAGAGAGCATCGTTTCATCCCGTTGTCCTCCCCCCGTCTCGGGGTCAAGTCAGGTCGTAAGATCCCCCCACGCATGGTCGAGAATAATATCCGCATCGGAACCGTCATCCGACAATTACTCATGGGGGCCGGAAAGTAAGCCTGCATTGTCTGGTGGTCAGAATATATCGCGCGGATTGTTGCCCGAGGCCATATGTAAAACTTGGCTTATTCGCCTATAGCATAGCATACTTCTCTACACTCATTGATGATGGCTTACTAATGTCTATAAGGGGCAGACAAATATTCCGGTTGTCAGGCTACGCTTTCACTATAGTTGTTGTACTTGGTTTCTATCTAGATTTTCGGGGACCGGTGAAAAAGAAGACGGAGAAGTAAGAGTTAAAAACACCAATCCGTCATTTGTCCGTAGTGCCGAGCTCTAAGCTGACATATACCCCTATAATATTTCCGCCGTATGAAGGTGCCAAATGTTAATCCTTAACCATTTTGGACAGCCAAATGCGGAGGTTTGTACCGGGAGTGCAGTCCGCATCTCACCCTCACTTCGAACGCCCTCCTTTCGATGCTGAAACCAGTAGTATTTGCCTAAGTATTGCCATTCATTATACGAACTCGCCTCCCAGGAGACGACGTACGTAGGTAGTCAGCACAGAAGAGCGGTGGAAACTGCCATTCTGACCGCCAGTGTCGTCGAGCGTGAAAAAGAAAAGCCGCGCTTAACCCTTCTGTCGATAGTATAGATTTGCCCGTCCCGAGTATACGGTTCGAGAATTAGGGCGGCTTATGGTATGCATCGGCCGATATACCATGCTGCCTGCACGGCTCCGGGACTGAAGCACAACGGCAGCTAAATCAGGCTTAGAATAATCTCCACATCCAATCAATAGAATATATTACTTTAGCGTCCCCTTTGCACGTGGCATAATAAGAAGCAAAATCCGGATAAGATTTATGCGATGTTGGTTTGAGGTTTAAGCGCGTCAAGCCATGCATACATACCTTACCTTACCTACATACTTGATGTTTGTTTGCTAGGTGAGGTATTGAGCACATTGAGCATGTCGAGCACATCACGAGGAGGCGTCCTAGGCTAGAAAAGCAAAAGAGGAGGTAACTTCACTGCGATCCTCTGCCACGTCTTACTTCGATGATGATCGTGATCCTCTAAAAGCTACCTTACATACCCTACCGTCTCACCGTGTGTTTACGAGGAGCTGGATACCCGGGTCTAGGCATACGGTACCTTGTGTGTGTGTGTGTGATATCTTACCGCCTGAGAGGCGGCTGGCTCACTCCCTGCCGTCCTGCCGCTTTACAAATGTGTCGCTTAATGTGAGATGTTATATGTCAAGCCACCTGTTTACTGGTTGCCGTCCTGCCGCTTTACAAATGTGTCGCTTAATGTGAGATGTTATATGTCAAGCCACCTGTTTACTGGTTGCCGTGCTGCCACGTTATTTGTTCATTTCGCGTTTAAACAAGAGGGTGTCGAGAAACCCAGCGGCCCATTACCAGATTGAGTATCTAACCCGCAATGTGTAAAGGGGGGATCATTGTTTGCTACGATTATCACGGTTGAGCATCTGACATGCAGAGAAGTATGTATCTGGAAAAAAGGGGCTGTTCAAAGTGGCAATAATAATTATAATGAAAAAAAAAAAAAAAGGTGATACGAATGCGTGGCGGCTAGCTGATAAGTGATAGAAGTCATATAGAACAAGCCAGGGAGCAATGTAATGCAAGCCACAATTCATATAGCTATCTCCTTGGATCTTGCTGTCATTGGCTGCGTCGTCTTATAGGATCAAGACGGCAATGCTTCACAAACTTTTGAAACATTGACCGATGTTTACGGGCTAGAAAGGCGCTACGGTAACACAGCATATATGAGCTGACAACTTCTGGTATGCGGTTAGACGCGCGATCAGCATATAGTGAATTGTCATATGACTGAGAAGCGCCCATATATCACCACGTCACTTATTCTTGCGAGGCCAGGGAGAAGACAAAACCACATCCTTGGTATATTGGTAGAAGGGCAAGAAAGATATCAAGTGGAACTCATCAACCGCAATCAGCAGCAAGCTTCTTTTGCTTCTTTGTCTTGTCCTTTACCGGAAATCCGACCTTCGGAATGCCCGTTCGGGGGGGGACCGTAGTATCTAGATATCCGGACTGCATCCAGATTGCATCCAGACTGCTGGATATTTTCTTGCAGCCCACGGCTGAGACATGGATCTAAAGATTGATTGCCGATTTGCAGCACGAGAGCTGGATAGCCTCAAAGCAGAACGAGCTGCAATAATACATAATATATCTTGCATTTTCCATTGGCTTATTAGAGTTAAAAGAATCAAGGTTGTTGTTAGCCACATTGAAAAATTTAATTGGAATGTGGTTTTAGTTCCTGTCAATCTCAGCTGAACTCGATGTCATTGTGATGAGTGGACGCTCCACTATGACCTAGACGAGATCGTGGCGTGGGTAGGGGCAAATGAAGAGAGAGGCAGAAAAGAAAGGAAAAAGGGACAAAAAAAGAAAAACAGAGGTCTAACCATGCATATGTTAGATAAAGTTGGATTTTGGTTAGTGGAACGAAACTAGGGAGAGGAGAGATAACGAAGAAGAATAATTGTTGGCATGGTGTTTTGGGTCATATTTTCATTTGTGTTAATAAACAACTTAACTATTGCTAAAGAATACTCTAAAATTAGTGGTTGAAGATAGTTTAACTGGCTTTTCATCACTAATATATCGATTTCTCCTATCGACTCAAATATAATAAGCTATCTTTTGCGCAACCGTTAGAAACGACAATGCCTTAGAATAGGAGAACAGAACATGGATATACTCTGTAGAAATTTGATTAGATGAAAGCAATTGGCGGTCGTTGACGTCAATGGCGTTTCAAACCGTCCTATGTGCTTTTGATACTCAACGTTCACCCATGTAAGGCGTTCTGTTAATTCCTGCTTTTCTTGAAATTCGCAATCCACACTTGTGGGTTTGCTCACGCGTTGTACATCTCATATTAAGTATGTACAATACAATACAATAAAATAAAATACAATACGATACAATACAATACAATAAAATAAAATACAATACGATACAATACAATACAATAAAATAAAATACAATACGATACAATACATATCTACTGGGGTTTGAATTAGTTAGAAAACCCAACTGGTCTTACATAAGGAGTCGAGTCGCTAGTGAAAGTCGCAGCAGCAGCAGCTGAAAGGTTCGTGGCTAAGAGTGATCGGCAGTGCAGTGCTTGGCGGCAGGGTTATCAGAGATCTGCTTTCCTCATCGGTCAATCTGATAATCCCAATAATTCTGGTTGCTTCAGAAAATGGAACGCACATGTCGCAGGGAACAATCCTTCCATGCTCATTCTCATTCTCATTCTCATGCTCATGCTCGTGCTCGTGCTCGTGCTCATACCACCATCGTCCAACCTACGTGAAGATGGAGCAAAATATGGAGCAGCATATGGAAAGTTCCGGCCTAATCAATGTATAAAGCTGTGGTAACTTGGCTTGTTGGTACGTGATAGGTAATAGGACGACCGGACGTAAGAAGTTAGAGCAATGCCGGAATTACACGGAGAATTACGTGGATAAACAATTGAAGATCCTCCGACTTCATTTCATCAGTCGTAGCGTTTGGATAGTGGATTATTAATCTAAGAGGCTCTTCTAGGGGCTTGAGGTTGTTTTACTTGAGCTTCAAAGCCCGGGTAAATATTGCGGTAAAATGCTGTTGGTACACCTTGCTAACCTAGCAGGGTGCATACGACTACGTTAATGTAAGGCGCGTGGAATTAACGTAGGCTGGTAGGGTCCTGAGACTCGCATGGACTCGAAGGAAAATATTAAAAAAAGTCAATAACGCGCCCTCGCAAAATTGGGATACCCGCCCCTCGTATTCGCTGGGTTGCTGCAGGTGTGTTGGGAATATAATTATGTAATTACATGGGCAACTTCAGTAAGCGCGGCGAGGTCATCCGAAAAATATGCCGAGTCTTATTATTCCCTCGATTCGGATGTTCGAGCGTACGATGAACCTGCGACGTTAGTATTGATATACCTACCGGTATACCTACTGCCAACTGGTATACGTCAGGTATACGTTAGGTACCTAAGCTAGCTATGTAGTTTCACGCACCACCGAATACCAATGTTTTCATAATTCGGAAGCGTGGCTTGCCGATAGGCGCCCAGTGGGCTTGATTGTAGTCGAATTTGAGGCCTTCGTTCACTTCGCTACCAGAGTGACGGGTGAGACTAATCAACTTGACCCTGTGGGGAATCAAATAACCGAACAAGTACATAGTAGACTCCAAAATGATGTGATGTGACCCGATGCACGGGGTCGAGCAAAATGATTGGCATTGGAAAATGTAGCGCCTACTTGTGAGATCACTGGTTTGGATGGATCTGAGATCTCTTAGCCTAACTCGGATGCTGGATTTTCTCATGCAATCCTAATTGAGACTTGATAAGGGGTTGAGGAAGACGAATCACAACATCGTCTTCCAGACTAATAACACCATGCTACATTTTTGCAGGCGCTAGCATCTGAATCATGTACCGCAACCGAGTACCTAGGTAGTCTAACCCCTCTAACAAAATTTCCGAAAGTCATGATACGTGAAGAAGTGAATATCTAAGAGGCTCAATGACCTGAAGCGTAGCATATATCGGAATAGAAGGCACCAACGAATATGGCGGGCACCAATAGGAGTAAAACCATAAACGGTGTAGTGTATGAGTGTATGCACGTAAGAATTAACTGCCTAGGTCATCTGTGCAAGGAATCATGACTTGGGAAAAAAGGAAGGTTGTGTCGACTTGGTGTGGAAAGAAAATCGGTTCGCCTGACCGGGATTCTGACGGGGATGCCGCTTTGACGTCGTGGTAAATGCGGAGATATAGCCGAGAGCGTTATGGGCCGACCGAGCTATCGAAGGACAGGGCATTGCGACAGAATGTAGGATGAGACGGCCTGGGCATTGGGAAATACTCACGAATGGAGCCCGATGCCATGCAGTCCGGAGATGAAGCGAAAGAGTGGTGCTATGGTAAGTTTGGATGGAACATGAATGAATTAACCTCGAGGCCTGACACTCGAGCTAGGTTTCCAGTGCGGCTACCAAGCTATTTACTAAAGCCTAGAGCGAGCTTTACCCTAGGCCTAGGATGGTATACCTTGCAGGTCGAGGCGGGCTCTTGGGGGGGGGGCCCAGGTTCTTTTTGGATTGTCACACTGCAACTCTGCAGCTTGGACGTGCCCACTTGGCTATCTTGGCGAGTCTGGGGACTACTGTGGTGGTTGGCTAGGGTGTAAGCAATCCACGTGAACAATGGCTGAGGTGGCTCTGCAGATGGGTGTGTGGATGAGTATGTACGTCGACGCACCATACATAACTAAGTACAGTACCAAGGAAGGGGACCCTGCTCGGCTCGCGAGTGATTCGACCGACAATGCCCGCGCCGTTGTACGCTCGGAGGTATTTTGAGGGGACGAGGGGGGAAGGGGAGGGACTCGCTGTAGCACGTCGATAGGAACTCGCCGATATCGTGAGAAGCGGCATGAGATTTTAAGCTGACAGGCCAATGACTGCGTATTGATGTACTGCATTAATATCTTAATACGTGAGATGCGATGCAGCAGCGGCATTGGTATATTGGCATCGATGTAAAGACCTGGTCAAAGGACACGGGATGCTGAGTTGAGCACGATAAGTTGACGTATTTCCTTGTGTGTATCGAGATGTCGTCCCAATATCACATGCCTTTTAAATGACATTGACGAGAGGTGCATACATAATACAGCTGATGGCATCGTATCCACCGGCTCGAAGGAAGAAGGATGGCGGTGTGCACGATAGTGGAGAGTAATATAGTACGATGGCTCTGTAAAGGAATATTGTTGTGGTAGTTGTGGTATGTATAGGACGAGAGTAGTCGTCGTCTTATTTTTAAGGCTATGGTGCCGGCGCGAAGGCTGGCGATATAAGGTATATATATAATAAAAGTACGATAGGTGTCGCATGTCGCATGTCGTTGAAATATGACTACGCCGTCGTGCCCTGGGCACGAATGATCTCTCTCTAGCTTCGATCCAGCTGCGAAACATGGGAGGAATTGGATTCAACGCTTGTTTAGTCTCTCCCAGAGCTTCGGGTCACCAAAGATCTGTCGATGCCCGGCGCCGTTAAAAAGCTCCTGACATATCACCTTAGCGGGAAATCTTTCTGGGGAACCATGCCGGGGGGGTTTGGCGCCAGGTGCTTTTATTACTGTGCATAAAATGATGAGATATAGGATAGCAGACGCAAGGTAGCACGAAGTTTTGTCTCGATCAATTAAGCCGAACGTCTTGCATACCTACACATGAGAGAGGGTAGAAAGAAGAAAAAAGGATGTTACATACATTAGAACGTACATTAGATCATACATGTACATCATATAGAGTATACACCCTGATCCGTACATATAATATAATTACATGTAACATATAGAAAGTACATGCGTCCATGCATCATGTATAATCAAATATGTATATTCAAGCATTTTGCTCGCCGTTGGCGGCAATTGCCGTAACTGTAAAGGTAAAGCTACTACCCTAGGTACATAGATTTCAATGCTCTTTCCTTTTTCTTCTCCCCTTTCCGCCGAGATGGCTCTTTGTTGTACACCAACCACGGCTTATAAAGTCCGAATACCGACGCGGAATGAGAGCGCGCCAATCGCCACATACATATTCGTCTATGTAACGTGACCGGGTTCCAATACATTGTAGTGGTTACACGGGTACCACGGGCGTGGGAAATTGCTTAGCAGCTCACCATTCCCTACCATTTTCCCTTGAGCCTGTCAGCTACTATCCCTGGCCGCCCTGGGTTATATGCGCATGCATAGTAACTCGAAAAGATATCGTGTGATACGTAATTGACCTCTTGATCTCCAGAGGTGGATACGAACCTTGTATAATAAATATCCAATGGATCGTGGCAGCCCGTGGGATAATACATCCTTCCGAGTCTTACGGGCCTTGAGTGATATCAGGACTGGAGCGACTGGAACGATATAGGTCATCTACGCTGATATTTAATGTACGATACGGAATACAAGAAAACAACAACGGCCCCCCCCCTCTCATACACATCCTTTAACGACTGGGAACGACGGGGCCTGCTGTACGTAACGTTGGTGGTATCGCGAGTCAAGGAATCGGGATACTTCTTCTGTAATCCTGCCAGCTCACGGCCATGTGGATCGCCCGCTCTCCACGTCGGGATTTGTGAACGGCTTCTGGGCGCCGTTGCCCAATTTTAAAGACACACGAGCTGAGATACTGTAAGAAAATCTTCCTTCATGAGGAGATCAATTTTCACCAGTCAGGTGGTCGTCCCACAATGGGGCGGAAGGTCGGACGTCTTCCAGGTTTGGTGTATTCTACCCGGCCGGCTCTATTTTTTCTTTCTTTTTCTCTTTGAAAAGAATCGGTAGATCCGTTAAGCGCGCACTGTTGCCACGATATCCACATGTATGTATTACGGGTAGAAGGATGTTTTGTAATAGTGGCTGTTTTGGAAGCGGGCAGAGCT